CATTCGGTTGCCCCGTCGAGGTGTTTCCAACGACCAGGGAAACGACATCATCGTCGCCGTCACGGCCAACGTGTTGTTTCAAAATTAACCCGAGCATGGCAAGGAAGTAAAGACATGTCCGGCCGTGCTTTCACTCTTCGATTGTTTGGCTCAGCCAGGCATTAGATCAGCGAGCAACCAGGTGGTCTACTCCCCAGCGGCCGGATCTGTCCAAGGAGCAGTTTCATCCCCATATCGCCGCCCTTGGTGGCCAAGTTCACCACTATTCATAGTGAATCAGTATGGTTCCGACGACATGGGCCTGTGAGTGGCAGCAGGTGATGATGCATCATCGACAGGCATTCCCATGCCCGGTGCCAGATATCCTGTTTTAGAAAAACTGCTATTCAGAAAGATTTCGAGCCTCAGACGCAGTGTGAAACAGGCTAAGAATAACGTTGCGGAATCGAAGCACTAGTTCAGCGAACATGTCGGGCAAGTTCTGTCGATAAGAGGTGCCTGATCAGGTACAACGAGAGTATGGTCGCTCAACGTGGCTCGAGCCTGAAACTCCGTATACACAGCACTAGCCTATTGGACCCGGCAAAGCGTCATAATTCACAAACTTGTTCAGCTTTGCTTTCTTCGTCACCGTGGTATTACAGGTCCATCCGCCGAAGGCTGTCCTTTCCTGCCACAACATGATGCTGAACAAGCGCATGGGACCTTTTCAAAATTCCCACAGCTCTGCCACCCGGATCCCACCATTGCACGCCCACTGGCCCACAATCCTGGCTTGAACCGGCTCGTTCCAGACTCGCAGCCAACTTCTTTATCCGATGGAAGGGTAAATAATTGGGCTCGTATTGTCAATACTATGGTCGAGTCGCACTTTCCCGGGTTTGCGACGGGCGAAATGGCGAAAAAGCCGCCAGCTGCTCCGAAGATTGTGGAGACGCAGAGGTTGAATAGCCGGTTATATACATTGTTGCATCGCCAGCAAATCATCCATCCTGTCCAGCAGCGTTGAACAGAAAGGTATCATGACCTGGCTCTCTGTACCTTTGTGCACGGACGCACGGCTGAACAATACGAGCGAGGCAGCGCGGTGCAACCAGGCGACTTCTTGACACTTGGATAGCACCACGAGGGCTTATTGGCGAGGAACAAGTCAACAGCGAATCTTTCCAAACCCTCTCGGTTCCAAGAAAATATCTCCTCGAGCCCTCTCCCGGGTTTGCGAAATCTATCTTCAATATCAATCAGCCGTTTCCGGAACCACAAGGATGGCTGTCATCCTTCATGCATCTGGACACTAGATAACTTTGGCGTCACTCTTATTTGTCCGCTAAGCCCAAGATGCATGGCCACTGCTTGATTAATGCAGACAAGATTGGACAAGCCTGCAGGCCCAATATGCACCACGGGCGAGGAAGCAATCTCCAGAAGTATGCGGCATCTGCCAACCTTGTTGAGGCATCGCCATTCTGCTCCGTGGTACCAAGTCAAAGTCCTCGAGTGTAGCCTGGGGCTGGCTGCCAACTTCTCACCATTGCTAGCCATGAGACAAATGCCGGTGAGCTCGCTCTTCGCATGTTCATGTACGGTAAAAACGACCCACAGGGCGTCTGTCTGACCCGTCTTGCAATCGGCATAACCGTTTCTGAGTACACCATTATCCTATCCTCACGATACTCAGCCTGGAGGTTTCTAGTTCAGGAACGTCCGGCGAACAGACGCTTCGGTTTCTAACAGGCGCTCAAGGATTCCGCACAGATTATACTCAAGTACTCCGTACTCCATGGAATACTCCGCTAGAACCCACGTTCCATAGCGCGAATGTCGGCCCATTTGTTGCGGCCCCAGCTTGCACTCATCCCCCGGGCGCCCACAATGGCGTTCGGGCCCCCATGTCTTCCCCAGATTTTTAGTACAACGCGCATATCACAGCCAAGAAATTGGAGGTCTGCTACCCCGGAAAGTGTGAGGCATGGATGCTTCCTGGTCGACGCCTGCATGAGCTAGACTCTAGGGCAGGAACTTGTCTGGTAAAGATGCCTACGGAAAACGAGTGGTACTCTCGCCAGGAAGGAGGAGACGGATGGTTGGAGAAACTTGTAATTCGCTCACGCTCAGGGGCGCAACTGGCCTGCTCCTCGGGGGAGCATATGCCCGAGCATTTCACCGCCTCCTTTTGCACGCCGACATCGTCAACCGCAACCGGTCTCCTATCTTAGGCCATGATGAGGGTCCTTTCTGGGAGCCCATCACTATCTAGGCGACTTCTGCCCGATGGCGGTCAAGGCTGAATAAAACAAGACTAGTGACACCTGGGTGTTTCGACTTGACTTCATCAGAATCCACCAGCCAAGAGCAAGATGCAAAGCATTGCACAAATTTTGTCATCCACAGGCGGATTCATATCATCAAAGCGTAATGGTGGTACTTGGACGGCAGAGCCTCGAAAGGTACCCAGGTACTTTGGACCACCATTGCAAACCAAGGACATTGCGAGTACAGCGCCACTATTGATATCCGGCCAATTGTTCCCTGTGTCTTGCAGCAACTATACCCTACATGAAGCCAGTGTATCTCCAGAACGGGGTATAGAAAGGAAGGAGTAAGAAGACGGAGCACGGAGCCGCAAATTCACTAGCGGATGACGCACGATAGATACGATCTTACACGAAACGAGGTACTCTCGGCTCCATCATCACAGGCCCATTCAATGGGTTATATCACTCATTACTCCAGGCCCACCCACACTCTCAGTTTCGTGGATCCAAGCCAAGGACCAATCGATCGAGGACCGGTTCTGGGGTCTGCATTAGCAAGGAGTAGGGCAGGACAACGGCATTTCGGTTCCAGCCTCATCCAATCTGCAAACCGCTCCGATACACGGGCTGGTAACTATATCGAGAATATAAAACTGTCAATGCAGAATCATATGAGGAAGTCTACAGAAAGATGAACGGAATGAGCTTTGATTCAGCCGTACAAAGTCTATGCTAGCCTTCAACGGGCCCCTGTGGCTTTTGCATCCCGCGGTATGTGGTTCCTTCGACGCCGCTCTGCGCTTCGGGAACGACTGCCTGGTTTAACAATTCGGAGATCCGAGGCTGGGTGATCATTCGACAAGGTTGCCACGGGCGAGTAGGGCCTTTTTGAAACCCAATACCCGGGGAGACATATCGGGCAGTTTGGAGAATGCAGTGTTCAAGGAGAATCCCTACCTTCCAGTTGCTGTTGGCCGAGCCGAGTAACAATGATGAAATGCATATCGTTGATGACAGTTTCGAAAGCTTGGATCACCATTTCCGTATGAGCATCATTGCAGGCTATTGGCGCCAATATGACATTACTAAAGAACATCAAACCTCACACTTGCGACCTGGATTTGAATATGATCTCGTAAATGACGATGGCAACCCATTGCCCACCCCGGATTTCGGAGTCATATTTTGCGGCCAGACTGATCCAGCGGTGAGATACCATGGCAGCGTACTGGATTTTATAGCTGGGGGATACAAGACCTTCGCAGTCTGAATTCCTGACGCAGTTGCTGCTACAAGTTTCTGAAAGTCTCGGCATGTGCAATGGATGTAAATGCGTACGATGAGACCGGCGAAAGCCCTCCGTGGCCTCCGTCCCCATGCGTGTCTTCTGAAACCGCTGTCCAAGTGGGATTCAGGACAAGGCCGCGTCTGTATCTCTCGCGTGAAGGAATCCTCGCTGCTTACGAAGCTAGAAGTCCTTGATATGACTGCCGCGCCTCATGCCATTGTACATGTTAGGAGCGACAAGTGCCAAGGTCCAAAGACGAGAGTCGACCTCGATTCCGTCGGACCCAATGGACGTAAAGTTGCTCATGAATGAACACGGGAGACGGGTCCAAGGATGGAAGCTGCATGCTGTCGTTACCATCGCACTACTGCAGGAATACATGTCTGGCTGGCCACCCGGCGTGACACCATCGGCCGGCTTAGCAAGAGACGCGTCTCTTGTTGCAGAGTGAGCTGAGAGGGCCATCTGTCTGCTTCGGGGTGCGCCTGCTTGTCCCGTCGTTTGGTGCCAGTAGGCTAACTTGACAATGATCAATGATGGCTGTAATGTCCTGCTCCAAAAAGGCGTGGGTGACGATGTCGTGGGATCCTTCCTGCGTCACGGTTGACTTAACATTGTAGTTGATCAAATGTGAAGCTTCGAGTATTGACGTTAGACCCGTGTTCTGCCGGCTTTGCTCCCAGGTTGGTTATGTTTCCCCGACTTGGCTTCTCTTTGTCCTTCTCACCACTCATGCTGTCCCTTGTGCGGTGAGGCAAGGGCTTTCCGAAAGGGTCGAGTTTTCTTCTTTTTCTCTTTTCAAATACGATTTTTTGTTAGATGTCCTTGCTGGGCAGTTTTCTCCCTCCTTCTCTTGGAAACCCTTTATGCTTATGTGTTTTTATCCTCTTCTTCTATAGTGGGCGTGCCGTGCGAATGGTGTGCTCTCCTTTGTATTGTCAGTCAGTGCGAACAAACACGCCCGCGGAGAGAACTCTTCCAATGTCCAAAGCAAAGTGGAAGAAACAACAAAACAGGAAATGAGAACGCCATTTGCTGCAACTGACTCTTTGAAGGGCACTCTTGAGCCATGCTTGCAGGCGGTTTCACTAAGCGCCGGCCACCGCGGCCGTGTTCCGTTGCATTCAAAGCCGTAGCCTTTCAACGTGCGGTATTCACCAGTCAATTTCCTCCTCATGCCAGAGCAGAAAAGGATCTCGTCCAATACATGTCCTGCTTGGCTTTTGGCCACGGCGGCATTTCGAACACAGAGGCCGGCCGTCCCAGGTCCGCCGATTCGTCGCAGGCCGGCTCTTTCACCTTGACCTGGCCCTTTATATTCCTCCCCAGACCCGTCGCCGTCAGAAAAGAGGCCTCTCCCAAGCGTGCATTATACACAAACAACAGGCACAAGTCTTTCCCGGCGGCCAGAGACTGTCAGACAACTCGACGCGGCAAAAATCACGAGCAGCCCTGCGATGAAGTCGGGATTCTTTGCATTCGCCCTCTCGCTCCTCGCGGCGCCGGTGCTGTCGGTCGCCGTGAGAGTCGTCAGGCAGCTCGCCATCCCACACGACGAGCCGCAGTGGGCGATGACGGACAAGTTCACCTCGGCCATCCTCGAAAGCACCAACCTGTACCGCCAACAGCACAACGCCCCGGATCTCACGTGGAATGAGACCCTCGCGTCCTTTGCAACCGGCCACCTCGAACGGAGCGACTGCGAGTTCAAACACTCAGGCGGTCCGTATGGCGAGAATCTTGCCCTGGGGTTTCCGAATGTCACTGCGAGCGTGGAGGCCTGGGGCAACGAGAGGGACAAGTTTGACTGGGAAAACTTCCGGTTCCAGTTTGAGACGGGACACTTCACACAGTTGGTGTGGAAGACGACCACTTCAGTTGGGTGCGACAGACGGGTGTGCGCCAAGTCCGGGTGGTATCTCGCGTGCGAGTATTGGCCCAGGGGGAATGTCCAGGGGCAGTATCGCGGCGAAGTCGAAACGAGAGTACCTACACCGGACGGCAAATAGAAGCGGAGTAATCTTGCATGTCGTGTTTCTGGGTGCTTGTGCCGTATTCATATTATTTGCAGAAGGTTGCGGTTTCAACTCGGCGAGGCATCAGGTTGCTCGTCTGTGCTGTTCTCACGGCGATGCCCAGATATCGTGTTTTTGTCTGCCGCGTTTTCTGTTAGGTCGCCTTTACTCAATGCGAAGCCACGTGGCCGTTGTTCATATGATGCGGCGTCTTCTTCAATACTTGCCACTGAGAACCCCAAGGCAAATGTCTGTAAGCTTCATAAGCCAGTAGTACCTGTTGGTCTTGCCAAGTCGCTCTCCCATCGACCAACTCAAAGTCAAAGTTTCTCATCCGCAGAGGAGTCAAATTAGCCATCTCCATTGGGGAGGCACATCTCCATAGGCAAGTGCACAATTTCCAAGGCCAAACTACAAACAATTCGCAGACTGCCGAGGCCAACTCAACTGCCGACATCGATTGTGCCTACTTACTGGCGAGTACTAATACGTACTCCTTGACGGCCCTCGCGATGGGGCCATGGTGACCAGTCTCGACTTCTCGATCCATCACAGTACCCTTGGGTTGAGACATGTATGGCCAGATGCAAGCGATATGCTGGACAATGAGAGTCAGGGTCAGGGTCAAGACTCGAGTCAAGCAAGAGTCGAGGGCACCCAAGCGTAAAGATCAATGCAGGCCATCGGCCCACGGATCCCTGCATGATGACATGCGACGCGTTCCAGGGGTACCAATGAAAGGGCCACGTCTGAAGCAAATTGGAAAAAGGTCGCGGCAGCAAGCGCTCGGTTGTAGCAGGTCAGCAAAGTTGTTTGAAATCGGAGAGGAGCGCCTTCGCGATGGCCATTCGCACTGTAGGGACCCGTTAGCGTGTGTCAGACATGCTCCGTGATATCCGGCCTCTGTCGACACTGTGCTCGCTGTCCGCCGGGTCCTCCTCAAACCTCAAACACTCGCAGTCTCGTCTTGTCTTCGTCGCCGCTGCAGACTTCTTCGTCCCACCTTGTGGAAACCGATCCTTTCTCTCGCCGTGTCGTCACCAATTCGTTCCGCTCCACCGAATAATGGCGTCGCCGCAGAAGGAGCCATCCCGGTCTACTTGCGGCTGCCTTTCCAACCTTGGTCGCGCACAATGTTTTCATTGTGCCCTTGCTCCAACTATCGAGCGCTCAATAAGTAGCATCAGGGAATCGTATGAGGGCCTCACAAGAGCCGGACCGAACACGCCATCTTCATTTCATTCCTGTCTTGCCCCTCATGGTCCCGACTTGAAGCGCCGTATTAACCGTCGGGGGGGCTCGTTTCATTGGAAACACCATCCTGGACAAGAAAAGAGGTGACTTTTAACCTGACGCAGGGCCCGAATCTGTGATACTCTAGATCCACCTGGCCCCAAGACTGGCGTCCTGGTGCGCCGGTGTTCCAAACAGATCATAGCCATACTGCTATGTATGGCCTCTTGGCATTGGGTCTTCCGAGAGCAAGCAGCCTTCGACCTTTTGATCTACGAACTGCTTCAGGGGCCAACTGTTTCTTTTGGAAATCATCAACTGCCTACCGATAACCTGGAGCATTCCGGCGGACCGTATCTGGAGCCGACGTCTTCAGCCGAATAGCGTCGAATCGGTACCAGGCTCACGCCTGTGCGGCTGACAGGGCAATGGCAACAAGACTGTTGCACCTGGCCAACTCCTTGTTGTTGGTGCTCCTGTTGGCCGTGGAGGTATCGGGCCGATTTCGCTTGACACTGGCGGACTTTGAATCAATTCCCTCGTCGTCGCTAGAGTTGAGATGCGTCGTCGCATGCAACAAACCCATGCGAGGTTGCTCCATGGAAGACTTTGCCCGAGGCAACACTTGCTCCCCCGACTGCCGACAAGGAATCATGGCAGTACAGGAGAAAATCCAGGCCTCGTGTGATTCGGTCAACACGAGCTCAGATTCGCTGTTGGGCCAGGCAAAACGTGCCAGGCTGGTAGTTGCCCTGTGCGGGAAGAGGCAGCTACTCTTGCCGACACGCACAAGCACCTCGATGACCTTCCCGCCGCCAGGAACCTCTTCCAGAAGAACCTCGGATACGCCATCGTCAACTTGCTCTAGTGACACTACCGTGTCGAAAGTTGCGTTGACCGTCTCTGCCAAGCGGCGCCCAACTACGACCTCAACTACGAACTCAACTGGTGCCTCTCTGACGACATCAACGACGACCTCAACTGGTGCCTCTCTGACGACATCAACGACGACCTCAACTGGCGCCTCTCTGACGACATCAACGACGACCTCAGCCACGGCCTCGAATAAGGTTTCGAACACGACTCCAACCGCAACCTCAAACACGACTTCGACAAGCAGCGGCATTGGCCACGCGTCAACGCCAAGTCGTGACGCATCCTCGATGGACGCGACATCAAGGACAAAAGAGGGCAGCAAACAAGGACAAGTGTCTACCACGTCTAGATCTACGAGCTCATCAAGCAACGAGCCTGCCCCTCGACGAACACAGCAACCTGAGGGTGGTGGGAGTCCTTTTGATTTTGTGCCCGGGATTGCCAAGCACAACTCTGTCGATTCGACCTCGAAGATGCTTGCGGTCGTGTATTTTGCCGTTGCAGTGTACGTGAATTGGTAAAGTCGGTGACGAAAGCCATGTATTATGGAGGATGCTTTAACTGTGGGGAAGACGGTATTATAACATGTATCTACGACGCTGGATACCCCTCTGCGCAGATTGCTTGGGTGGACGCGTGTTTACAGATGCCTAGCCCAGTCGGGACTGGGTATGAGGCGGAGATGATGTATAAACCCTGTTGAATCTGTAGCGACATCGGCCGGCGCAGAGCGGGCGCGCCATGTGTGAATATGCTGCTGCTGCCTCTGGGGAAATGGGCGGGCGGCTGCTAGGCTTTTTGCGTGTTTGAAAACACACGGTTGGGTCCCGATTCGTGCCGCCACGCACTCTGGCCAGCTTTGCGTGGGGGAGGGACGCCTACGGAGTACTCTGCAGTAGCGTGTCCGTCCTGACTCGTGAGGGAGAGACAGCAGGCCTTGGGCACGTGGAACAGAGAGCAAGGGAGGTCCAGGGACCCACGGTCGTGGACTGATTGGCTACCCGCTCGGTGTCCAATCTTGCAGATGTCAGATGGGGGAACTGCGGGCACAAATTGCCGCCCACCGGCGGTTTTCTCTGTTTTCTCTTTCCGACAGTCAGTCAGGCTCAAGTGTCACGAGGTGAAGGATACACGGCATCGCTCCGCCACCGACCTGTCCATCGTGGGGGAGCGAGGAACGAGGATCGAGGACCGAGGACCGGGCTCCCCCTCGGCGGGAACTGACGGGCGACATTGGTATCCGGGCACGTTGGCGTCTTTTCAGGCTTCCAGGAGTGGCCGTCAAAAAGGCAAGTTGAGCATAAATATCGTGCTCCCAGCCAAATAAATGACCAGCGCCGGTTGGCTGAACACCTCGACGGCCGCAACCAAGCATCAGCCGCGGCGCCGGTGTCGTTGTCGTGACGCCACAGGCCATCAGGGCGCCCCCAAAGAGACAGCGTCCGAGGAACATTCGAGAGCCGAGACGACACAGCGGGCGCGGCCGCAAGCACCGCCCGGGAATTGTTCGTGTCGATGCCCCGCGATGTTGAACCGTCTGGAAGTGACACTCGTCGTCGCGCTCCGTCTTGCTCCTCTCTGCGGCAAGGAGCCATCCCACGCCGCCACGTCCCCACTCGTTGGTCCCCAAGTCGTGTCGCCATGCATCAAAGAGCATCTCTTTCGCCTCTCACAGAGTCGCGGTCAGTGGGTCAGCGCCAAACAGCACCATGTCCGTCTCTGGCGTTGGCCAAGCTCCGGGCTCTTGTTTCTGCCCTCTCCGATTCGTGCTGTCCAGTTTCCATCCCGGATCTGATGGATCCAAAAGTCTTGGCCGTGCCATTTTCTTGCAAGCACCGACCTCCCGGTTGTCAAGGTTCATGCGTGTATTTACTCGTCGCCATCGCCAGCGGATAGGTCGAATCTTTTGTCCTTCTCGTCTCCTTCACTTGTTCTCTTCCAGCCTCAACCTCAACCCTCTCTCCCATCCCCCATCGGCGGCTTAGCTCAGACGGGTGCACCGAAGCCGCGGCGGCCCTGGCGTCACGTCGCAACGAGCCGCACCAGCGAGCGAGACACGATTCCGATTCTCCGGACTGAGTGAGACCCACCCCGCTGGTTTCTCGACCTTTGTTTTTGTTTCTCTTTCCGTGGCTGGGGCTTGTGTGGTCCGTCGGCAGTCCCGTCCCCCGGCTTCGCCTGCCCGTTTAATTTTAGCCTGCAAAGTGACGACAAACTTCTACTGCATCGAGTCTGCAGCCGAGCACCTGCCGCATTGCGTCTGTCTCAATCCCGCGATACCCGTCCGTGCCAACCCTTGCGTTGCCGTTCTCAATTCGTCGTCTTTCAATCCGCGCACAGCGTCGCTTGCGTCGCCATCTGGAACCTGCGTGGACCATTCTAGTCGACAAGGATTGTACGCTGTTTTCCTGTTTCTCCTCGACCCAACGCCATCTGCATGTATCCCGCCGTCGTCCTCTCCGGCTCGAGATCAGTTGGCCGGTGCCGAGTCAACAATCCCTCACGGCCGGCTCTGCCGAGAAGGCAACGGCAAAACTCTTTGCACTCCACGCCAGGCCCTTGGACGTAACTTGAGCCCTCGAGTTCGGGGGTTTGCAGCCGAACAAGACTCGAGAGCGTCGAGCCGAAAACACCGCCAACTTGGCTCCTCATTGGTCTCGCGAACCGCCAGCCCAGCACAATGGCTTGGGATCAACTGGACATCACCAAGCCGCACTTGGTGTACATCATTCTCGGCGGCTTTACCTCGCTGTTCATGCTCTGCTCTTCCTTCATCAAAGAGCGCATGTACATTGGCGAAGCCACCGTTGCTACACTGTGCGGCGTTATATTCGGACCTCATGTTGCCAACCTTATCGACCCCAATTCTTGGGGTAACACCGACATCGTCACCGTCGAGTTCTCTCGCATTGTCCTCGTCGTCCAGTGCTTCGCCGTCGGTGTCGAATTGCCCAAATTTTACATGGAGAAGCACTGGAAATCCGTCATCTTTCTCCTAGTCCCAGTCATGACCGTGGGCTGGCTTCTCACCAGCCTGTTTGTTTGGTGGATGGTTCCCGCTCTGAGCTGGCTTGACTCTCTCGTTGTCGCGGCATGCGTCACGGCCACTGACCCCGTTCTAGCCTCATCCGTTGTTGGCAAGGGCAAATTCGCGAAACGAGTCCCGAAGCATCTGCGAGATCTCCTGTCTGCTGAGTCCGGGTGCAACGACGGCATGGCATTCCCCTTCATTTACCTGTCTCTCTATCTCATTCAGTACAACAGAGACGCCGGAGAAGTCAGCTTTCACTTCGTCGTCTACGTCGTTCTATACGAGTGCATCTTCGGCGCTGTTTATGGCTTCCTTATCGGCTACATCGCTCGTCACGGCATCAAGTTCGCCGAATCCCGCGATTTGATCGACCGTGAAAGCTTTCTCGTCTTCTATTTTGTCGTCGCCCTATTCTGCGCCGGCTCAGGCAGCATTCTCGGTGTGGACGATCTCTTGGTTGGCTTCGCGGCCGGTGTCGGCTTTTCCAACGATGGATGGTTTGGCGAAAAGACGGAGGAGTCCCATGTGTCCAACGTTATTGACTTGCTACTCAATTTGACCTATTTTGTCTACTTCGGCACCATTATTCCTTGGGAACAATACAACGACGGTGCGTTCGGTCTGGTGGCGTGGCGTCTCGTTGTCATTGCCATCTTCGTACTCCTGTTCCGTCGCTTGCCCATCATGATGGCACTCAAACCATTTATTCCCGACGTCAAAAACTGGCGAGAGGCACTCTTTGCAGGACATTTTGGTCCCATAGGTGTCGGTGCAATCTTCATCGCGATTCTCGCACGGGCAGAATTGGAGCATGAGGAGCCGGTGCCTTTGGGACAATTACCTCCGCCGGATTCGCCCCATTTTTCTCTCATTTACCTTGTATGGCCCATTGTGACGTTTCTTGTCATATCGTCTATTCTCATCCACGGGTCGTCAATAGCCGTCTTCACCCTTGGAAAACGCATCAACACCTTGACGCTAACCATGTCATACACTGCGGCCCCGGAAGACGGCCCTTCATGGATGAACAGGCTGCCCAGAATATCATCTCAGTCTCGATCCATGGCCAAGACCATGTCGGAGACGTCGCTTGATGATCTTAAAGATCCGGACTTCCCGCCTGGCACTCTCGCTCCACCAACAGGATTCTTGCGTCGACAGAGAGACGAGGAGGGACACAGTCGTTCGGGGAGTCGTGCTTCCTCGCTTGTGTCCAGGAAACGAAAACACAAAAAGTGGGATGACGGAATTGGACCTGGAGGACCGATCAGCCAGTCGGCCATTTTTCCCAACAGACCTATGCAAACTGAGGCATCAGAGAAGGAGTCTTCCTCGCCAACGCAAGAAACGACCGACTCCACGATTATCGCTGACGAATCACGCACAGAGAAACACGGTGAAACAGATGACCATGCCGAAAGTCGCCGTGATCACTCCCCTCAAGTTAATGTGTACAACGAGGGCAGGCATCTTGTGTTTGAAAACGAAGATGGCGAAGTTCTCGACGTGCAGTCCAGTTCGCAAGAGGAAAAAGAGCAAGATCCCCAGACGAAGAAAGAAGGCCAACCTGTCGGTCTTCAACCGGAGGGCGAATCGTCGCCCAGCTGGCGACGTGGAGGTTGGCGTCGTAAGATGAACGAATATTACACGTCGGAAATGGCGAAGCGCAAGGACAAGGGCAAGAGCGAACGTCAACATGAACCAGCCCGTGCCTACCAATTCGGAAACACGGTAAGTCACATGCGTCGAATGCGTGCTTCTTGTCTCTCTTTCTCTTTTTTTTTCCCCCTTGCCCTTCTGCGGCTACTGACATTGTCATGTTAGATCATCGTTGAAGACGAAGACGGCGAAGTCGTCAAGACATACGAATTGCCCTCGTCCAAGCCTGACGGCCAGGAGAGCGATCTGATTGGTGCGAGCCTCAAGTATCTCGGGCTGGGTGCTCGCGCCCGCCAAAGCGAAAAGAATACTGTGGCAGCGGCGGAAGAGGGCAAGGCTGGCGTCGAATCATCAGGCAAGCCGCAGTCCAAGTCTGGCTGGGCTGGCTTCGGTCAACGCGGTGACGGGGGAAAGCGCAAGAGCGTCGCCCAGCAGCAGGATGACGACGACGATAAGAAAATTAGATTCACCATTGGCGGTGTCGGTAGGCGCATGACCAAGGAGGACTTTATTCGAGAAGTCCAGAAGCTGGACACGGGCACTCGCAACGAAGTTGTCGACCACTCTACTGCTTCAAACGCCCTCAAATCTATTGCCAGGCAAGACGCGACTGTGAAACCCGCAGTTGCTCGGCCACACCGTCCGGTCCCGGCAATTCGGGAACACGACAGTGAGAGTGGCAGCGGCGGCAGCAGCAGCAGCAACGGGGAAAGCAGTCGGCTTGCAGAAAAACGCTCGGTATCCGCCTCGCCGACTCGAAAGCAGCCTCTGGTCGCTGAGCCCCCTCGCGGTCGACGGGGCCATGTGTCGGAGGAAAAAGGCGAGACTGGTGTTGAGCGCAGACGCCGGCTGGCAGCCCTCGCCAGCCAGGTTGAAGACGACGACAAAGAAAATGACGACACTGGCGAAACGCCAGCGGAAAGACGCCGACGCCAAGCGGCGTTGGGAATGGGCGGTCCTGCGGCCCAAGAAGACAGCGACTCTGAGGACGAGGGAACGGAGAGAGTTCCTCCCGCGAGGAGGGGCATTCGATTTGCAGAGCCTCAGAGAAAGGGCTCATAGGTCGTTGTTTCCAACTGGGTATGAGATTTGTTCTCATTTTCTTTTCCATCCCGCGAGCATTATTTCTGCCGTCCGTGTTCCACGATCTAGTCACATGATGCGGCGATGAGAGTGCCAATCAATCATGAGCATGGTTCGGCACACGTGAGGCAGGCACACGCATTGCATGGCGAATTATACGAGGCATGTAACTAATGAATGGGCGGTGCATTTACTTGCGAGGTCAAATTGAGGCATCATTCTACAGCGTCATGCAATTCGTTTGAGACCCCAGGTGACTTGGACCCGACTTGGACTCGAGGCTGACGTTGACGTTCCTGCTCGATCCTGCCGTGAATTGATTCCTTGTTTCGTCCCTGGCCTACGAAAACTTTGCTAGTGTCACCTGAACGAGAAGCGGCATAGATTGAAACCTCCCGAAAGCTACTCAGTCACGGTACAAGCTCCACGCCCGTTTCCGCCCATTGCAACGAGGCTCAGGGTGCGGTCGTTTTGCGCTGTCGCCGCTCCACCTGGCAAATCGTTTCTGCGTCTGTCTGGTCTCAGCTGCAAGAGACTTGAATGCGCAGTTTCTTCAGATGAGCATGATATCATCTCGTCTGAGCGACCTGGAAGCGAAGACGACATGGGGAGAAGGCAAGGCGTACGAGCATTCTAGGAAGTCGGACGAGGCAATCGAAAGCAGAAGAGAGGCGAGCCCCGGCGTCTGGGGAAACACGGCGCGACAAATCATGGCGAATTGCCGGAGCGGGCTCCGGTTGGATGAGGTTGAACCCGACCAACGAGTACGTAGGTAGGAAAGCGCCACATGCATCTCTACAGCAGCACTAGATGATGAGAAATCGCATCGGCAAACGTCAGCCCAGCTGTCTCTCTTCAGGTTCGGTGTCGGTTATTTTATCTCGTAGCCTCGCTGTCTGAGATAGACCGCGGCAAGGAGCAGGCTAAGGCAGCCCCAGACGAGATGCAGTTCCACAACAGCCCAGAGCCACAAGCATCCCAGCGGCGGCGCCTGCTTCATCGTCGCCAAATAACCATGGGTGTTCGAAATATAAATGAGAGTGCATCCTGATGCAAGACTCATGACGAAGAAGGTGGCCTGTCTCAGCGGGTGCTGATACGGGCCCGGTAGGCCAGGTATCAAGACGGCATCGGATTCGAAGGGATGGAGAACGTAAAATAAGAACAGAAAGACTGGGGGACGGAGACGTCAGCGAATCGCGGTCGCGCCACGGTCGATACATACGTCCACCGGGGTCGTACCTAGCCATGCACGGGCTGTTCGTGTGCAGACGTCTGCCCAGCTAATCTCCTGTCCATATTGATTCTGCACGAGGACGTCAAAAGTGAAGTGAAGCATGGCAATGGTGGCGGTCCACAAAGCGGCTTCGAGGACGCGCTCTGCACGGGGAGACAAGGTGGGATCGTCGTCGTCGTCGTCGTCGTCGTCACAGGCCGTGCCCTGCGTCCTCTTTGCCTTTGCCATCTCCTTCTCCCGCTGCCGGGCCTGCTGGAACATCTTTCGCTCCTCAGCAAGGTCGAGTAGAGTTTTTTCCGTTGGCGCGGAGCGATCTGGCTGGCGAAGCTTCATGTTGGCAGCGCCAGCCCGTTCCTTGCGCGTTTTGGCCATGACGATGTTGTCGCTTGTCGGGACGGGCGCGTGTCGGCACAATCGGCCGAGGCACGAGGCGTGTAGTTATTCTTTTCAAAGCAGCCACTCCGCCTTGCCTGTCCTGTGCAGACGGACACTTCAGACGAATTCTACCACGGGTGGCTTGAAGCAAGAGCGGAGCGAGAATGACGAAAGCAACAAAAGCCGGCGCTTGTCTTGTGAGTGCTGGTCGAGCAGTGCGTACCTGGGGCCTAGGCGCCGGGTAACGTTACGTACTGAGTACTCTGTACGTGAGTGAGTAGCTTCAGTTCTTAAGTAGGTAGGTACCTAGCTTATCCCGTACGTACGGGAGTACGGAGTACCCAACTACGGAGTAGGTAGTTAATATTTTGCCCCCCGCGGCTCCTGTGCCTGGGGCCAACTTTAATTTGCAAATGTCCCCCGGACAGGCAGGCAGCTCCCAGGCAGCTCCCGGGCAGGGGCAGGGGCCAAGCACCCCGTAGCCCGTAGCCCGCAGCCCGCGTCGACTCACGAGAGCAAAACGACGACAGGGCCCGGGAATGGCCCGAGTTGACGAAAATCGCAAGGTGGCATTTACGTCTGCTGCCCACTCACGTAGTACTCCGTAGTCAGTAGCCATATCGCATGCTGCCTTCCCTTGCTGACCGAAGCAACAGAGTCCAGACTGCCGCTGGAGCTCCTTCCCCTGCCAACGTCGCGGCCAAGTGGCAAGTGGCGGTCTTCTCTTGCGCCCCTCGGAGGAGCTCTCTCCCCTCGTCCCCTTTGTCGTCGCCGTCGACCAGACGGCCCTCTCGCCGACAGTCACCACCAACCCCTCGCCGCCGAGATGGACCGCATGCTTGGTCTGCTGGCGACCCTGGCGGTGGTGGTTCCCCTTCTGTACATGTACACGGTCAGCGTCGTGCAGTCGCGCTTTCCGGCCGTCAAGAACAAGCGCATCTGCCTGCTCATCGCCCACCCCGACGATGAGGCCATGTTCTTTGCTCCCACCGTCCTGGCTCTGACCCACCCCGAGACTGGAAACCACGTCAAGATCTTGTGTTTGAGCACAGGTATGAGCCGCCTCCCACGGCCGCAGGCCAAGTTTCGGCGTTGAGCCTCTGTCTGACCTGCCGCCGGCCCCCGACGAACGAACGCACGGAGCCGACTGACTGATGTATGCTCAGGCAACGCCGACGGCCTCGGAGAGACCAGAAAGAAGGAGCTGGTAAAGAGTGGCATGCACCTGGGCTTGAGGGACGAGGACGATGTGTTTGTGGTGGACAATCCGTATGTTTTGCAGCTCCCCACGATGACGGCCGTGACGCTCTCATCAGAATGGCTCTGACGTCTGACTCCTCCTCAGCGCCGACTTTCCCGACTCCGCGACTGCCAAGTGGGACGAGGCCCGAATCGCGACTCTTCTGTGCAGCGCCTTTGCGCCGCAACTCGTCCGCCAACGAGCCGACGACTCGGCCAAGCCGACGGCCAACATTGACGTGCTCATCACGTTTGACGGCAGCGGCGTATCGTCGCACCCAAACCACATTTCTCTGTATCACGGCGCCCGCGCCTTTGTGGGAGCCCTGATGCGCGGCAAGTCTGGATGGACCTGCCCCGTCGACCTGTACACGCTCCGCTCCGTCAACGTGCTGCGAAAGTACTCGGCGTTTCTCGACGTGTTTGGCACCATGGCCTCGTGGGCCATGGGTGTGCGGCACGAGGACAAGGCGCACCCAGGGGGGCTCGTCTTCATGAACCAGCTCGTCGGCGACGGTGGCCTGCCGACGGCATGGGCCGCAATGACGCAGGCGCACCAGAGCCAGATGGTTTGGTTCAGGTACCTTTGGATCGCATTCAGCAGATACATGGTGATTAACGACTTGCGCCTCGAAAAGGTCAAGAGCAAATGACTGCCGACAGTCGACGGTGACGATGGTGGCACCGCCAGGGGGGCTGTACGACAATGCAGAGGAGGTCGTTGCATATCTATGGGCGTTTGGAGATGGGGAATGAGCCGTCATGGCGTCGCATCATCTTTGGCTCTAACGGCTTTATGTACAACTTGCAGCAATGAATTGGACACGCCTTCACGATGCCGTCTTTGCGAATAATACTCTGCGCTCTGTCTGTCTTGCACTCCCCCCTTGTCCGGTCCCGGAGCTTTAGGACTGCATGTTCCGGCTCGTGCTGCTTCCAAGACGTCCACAGATGGACCATCCAACACCCCAGAAACATTTCGTACGCGCATCTAAGCGCACAATTCAGTGCGGCGTGCGGCGTGCGGCGTCGCGCCCAGTCAAGCCATCAACAAGTCTCTATTCCAAAGATGAAAATTTCGTGGCGCTATTCACGACAATAGGACAGGACAAGACAAGTCTACTTCCACCACAACCACCCCCCAGACATTTCAAACGTCCCGTCACTCATCACTCGTCACCCAGGCAGGCAGGCAGGCAGGCAGGATGCGCACCATGCCAGCAAACACCATGTTCGCCAGCGACCTGACATACATCCAGACACGACACGCGCAGCACCCTCGCCGCAAGACGGCCGCGATCGCGCTGCAAGACACGACGACGACGACGGCGCACCAGCAAGCGGACAGACGGGCGCCCGACGCAGGCCGGGCGCGGGCGGACCCGAGGTCCAGGGCGTCACTGCCACGGCCGTGTGCGCCGTTGTGAATTTCTGCGTCCAGCGTGGCCCCGGGTGGAACGGTGAAAATCCAACACGTATATCGCGTACGTACCCCATCCATGTACATGACTAGATGGGGAAGAAAAACCGACACACCGCCGGCCATGCTGACACGTCACACGTCACATACGAGGAGACGCAGCCTACGCAGCTCAAAAATGCACACTCCTCTTCTTTTCCACCTTGTCGCGCCTGTCCTCGTCGGATCTGTGGAAGAGCCCGCTGACGCTTCCGCCAAACGGGCCCGAATGCTTCTTCCTGCCACCGCCACAGCTGCTCGGAGGCCCGGGCTGCGAGCCGACGCTGTTCGGACGCGGGGGCATCGGGGGCTGTCCCCGGCCCAGGGCGCCCGAGGCGTAGTGTTGGTTTCGATCCGGCCGCGGCGGGAGGGCCGGCGAGGACGAGGGCGGTCCTCCGCCGGGAGGGGCCGGCACGCCGTACTGCCTGCGCAGGCGCTCCGTCTCCCTTTCGACCTCGGCCTCGCGTCTGCGGCGCTCGTTCTCCTCCGCCTCCAGCATCTTCCGGATCCGCCTCTGCTCTTGCGCGTCCCGCTTCTCCCGCTCTTTCGCCTGGCGCTTTTCCTCTGCCACCATGGCTTGCAGGCGTTTCGTCTCGGCGTCGACGTCTGACTGCTGGACCGCAGGGCCTGCGGCGGGACCCCCGAGGCCGAGGGCCCCAGACGCCGCGGGGATCTGTTGTCGCGGCGGCGATGCCGGTGGCCCGGAGGGCCTGGAGGCAGACGGAGACGGAGACGGCGCCGGCGCCGGCGCCACCGCCGTGTTGAAGGGATCCTGTCGCGGGACGAGGTACAGGTCGCGAATGACCTCGGCGCTCAGTATCAGGACAACTTCGAGGCCTTTGCGGTCCTCAATGTCCACGCGGGCCAGGTTGGGTTCGTATATTGTCACGGCGGCCGCGGTCCTGCCCGCGTGGAACATGGCGACGGTGATGTCGGGCTCCTTGCTCTTCTTCCCGCCCACGCTCCTCCCGGACATGTAGCACGTCATGTCTTTGCTCAGACGGCCGTCCCTCCTCCACCGAAACACCAGCTTGGGCTCCAGCTCCGGGACGGCAGGCGCCGTCTCCCTGTCTATCCGGCTCGAGCTGGGCACCCTGAAGCTGCGCTCGGGGACCTCAAAGTCCCACGTGTCGGACTTGCTCCAGCTTCCGTGGTTTCGCTTGACGGTGATGCTCTGGTCGGGATTGTACAGCAGCACGCTGAAGGCTTCCGGCGTCGGCGGCGGCACGGGCGTCGAGACGCCATTCTGAGCCCGCAGCTCGGCCGCCGACAGGCTCGGCTGGGCCCGTTCGGGCTTGACCAGAACTTCGGCGTACGTCACGGACGGGTGGCTAACGTGGAGGAGGCCGAGAGCATACTGGTTCCGGGACTCGGACGGCAGCGGCCGCTTCAGCAGGTACTCGGGCGAGGGCTCGGATCCGTTGTGCGTGAAGTAGAGCAGGGTATTCTGGGGATTTTCGGAAGATTGCTGGAGTCGAAAGGTGGGGAGGTTGTCGTCGAGCATTTTCGCTCGCGAGGCCCGCGCTGTGCCAGGTCCAGGCGGCCCGGGGAGATTGTGTGTTGGATGCGTATTTTCTTTTGCTGCCGGCGTTATCGAGAGCGCCGTCGCCGTCGAGGGCCGGGATGGGATTCCAAAGAGAAGCACGACGGTGCTCAGCAGGACTTGACGAGGACAAGGAGAGACCGGCTCCCGCACAACGAAGGGGGCGTTGCACACGCAGAAAGCTGACGCAGCCGCCGCCCGCACACGTCAAACTGCACGGCAACTGACTCGCAGGTGCGTGCCTTCCGTGGCGGGGTCCGTCTACTACTTACGTAGGTACCTAGGTACTTGAGTTCCTGGGCGCCGGTACGTACGGAGTAGAGCCAAGTACAATCGGACCCCGTGACAGTCTACTGTGAGTCTCTGACGAATCCGTCACACGTGGCCCTTTGGGGCTGAAGGCTCTCAGCCTCATGTGGCCGCAGCGCGTTCTGAGCTTAGAATAGCCCAGGACAATGGAACAGTCATGGTTGTCGTGTAGTTACTTTTTTTTCTTCTCCGGCGCAAACCTGCAATGTCCTACAGACGCTCTCGCCGTTGCCCACCGCACCAAGAGATGACGCTCCGCTGCCACGTGTATTCTCTCCGGCGCACCATTCATAACTCGAACGCCTGCTGATCTCGTCCCCCGGTCGAGAGCCCACCAACGCCATGTATCCGGCCCCCAAGCCCAGCCCATGTCCCCGGAAAGAAGAAGCAAAAAAACAAAATGCCGTATGCCCGGCAAGGTAGTCCGTCCGCATCAGAGTCTCAGCCGCCGCCGTCTCAGCCGGTCCCGTTGTAGACGTCCCCGGCCCCCCTCAGCATCCGGCCCATGCCGCCCTGCAGCGACGGCCTGTGCCTGTGCCCCGGCCTGCTCTCTCTGCCGCCGCCTCGTTTCCCGGCGCTCCTGCCTGGCTCTCCCGAAGCACGGGACCCAGCAGCAGAGCGCGCCGCCGAAGATGATGCCCACGGCAACCCCCATCAAGAAGCCGCGGACGACTTTCTCGCCGCTGGATCCGCTCGTGACGAGCTGCAGGATCCGGTCGCCGACGTTGAAGCCGCCGAACCCGTTGGGCGTGTTTGCCCACGCCGTCAGCGTCGGCAGCGTATACGTGGTCGAGGGCCACGTCGTGAACACGTCCCCTGGCGAGGTTGGCGTCGGCGTCGGCGTCGCGGTGCTGTTGCTGTTGCCGTTGCTGTTGAAGTTGAAGTTGAGGTTTGTGCCCGTCATGGTCGCTGGTTCCTCGGGCCCTCGTGCGCCAGGCACCAAGCCCGTCCTCTTCTGCCTCTGCCTTTGCTCGCCCGCGTCCCCGTGTTCTCTGGACCCCCGTCCCGCGCAGAGCCGACGCGTGTGCGCCAACAGGCAAACGTCCAGGCGCGATGCGCGAAGAGAAGACAGAAGACGCTCGATTAAACAACAGCCGACTCGATCCGTCCGTCATCGGTATCCCGATGCCGGCAGGCGGATCGGTTTGGCGACGACCGTCTAACGTCCCCCGCTACCTCTGCCTGGCCTCCCTTGGCCTCCTCCTCGGTATCGGATCGTCGCGCGGGAAAACGACAAGAAGACACGCGCGTGCCAGCCCGCCCGGCGCATTCAAAAGACAGGCGGCGGCGCTCGCTCGAGATGAATCGGTGAAAGGAGTTCCGGGCCCCCATGCACGCGTGGCACGATCCAGGGACGGCCGTTCAGTCCGTGGGGGCGGATGTGCGTCCCGGGCAGGTTGCAGGTTGCCAGCGACAGCCCCCGCGTCGGGCGCCGCGTAATTTCGGAGCCTTGGCGGATGCGCTTGTGGCGACTCGACGCGTGCGAGCCCTTTGTTTTCGGCAGGCGCCGACAGCCTTCCCTCGTCGGCGACGTGGGAAGGAGAGGGTCGGGGCGCAGATGCCTGGACGAGTTGGCAACGGGCAGCTCGGCCATGGACCTCGGCTGGCCTACCGTCGTGCGGGCTCGGGAACACACCCGCATCAGAGAGGTCCAGGCGGGGATTGGTGCCCAGATCCGAGCCGCGAGAGACGGCAAGTGTGCATACAGTACGTGTACGTACCTACCTAGCTAGGCAGTTACTTGAGTACCTAGGTACTCTGCGTAGGTGCGTGCCTGCCTTGGGGCACAGACTCGGTGCGGACTAGGCTACAAAAATGCCAATGTCGTCAATCAGTCTCCTCGGACAGCACAAAAGAGGAACGCGTACGTATTTCATTACGAACCCCCGGACCAGACTGCAATCAGATCAACCCCGCCGCCTCCCACGGGAAACGTAATCAACTGTGGACCACGAGTAGCGCACAGATGGGAAAATCGCCGCTCCAACCCTGGACGGACTCTCAGAACCAGCCACATCCTTGACGTCTGTCCACCGTCAATAAACACACATCGTCGACCTTGGATGCGTCCCGTCGAGTTACCGTCATCGAGCTTGGGGGTGGGTGACGGTCGATCGGGATGCTTCCTGTTAGCCGGGGATGGGATCGTGAGACCGCGCCATCATGGGAAGCCGTCTGGCGTTTTATTGGAGGCTGCCGCTCAATGCTGCAGGTGGGTTTCTCGTTCCCGCTTCGTATAGACATGTCCTAGTGCCGAGTCCATCTCATGTCTCTACGCGCAACGGCCTGCGTTCAATCAAAGCACATGGCACCGTCTGTGGTCCGCAGTGCATGAGAGGCAAGGCCGGACGTCGAGCCCGCCATCAACTTTCTAATCTATTCAGCTATTACTAGTCCCAAGCCTCGGCCACGGTCATGTCCACCACGTCCTCTTTTCCAGCCGCAGCCGCAGCCGCAGCCGCGTCCTCTATCCAAGCTTCCTCCTCCATCCCACACCTCCCAACGTGTATTATGTTATGAGGAAACTTCTGCCATGGGGACTGAAAAATGTGTTCGAGAAAGAAAAGAGAGAGGGAGGGAGAGGGATGGAGAGAGAGAGAGAGAAAGACCTAATTTCTGCTGCAAATGTCGTACAACATATCCTATTCAACTTGCCCAACCAAAAACGCCCTTTGTCCCATCCAATCAAGATAGCCATCCACTCAATTTTCCTGTCAACATGACAAGGAGGAGTGCGTAGGTGAAGGCCAATGCCAGAGCTTTTATGCAAGGTATGTTCGCGCCAACAAACGTTCCCGAAAATGAAAAGAAGAGAAAAAAAAAAAAACCGAGGTGTACAAGAGCGGTGTGAAGAGTAGTGCAGCGTACCAGAGTAAGCGGCTGGGGCTGCCAGCAGGTCAGAGTAGACTGAAGGGGGTAGCTTGGACAATGGGAGAAGGGGAAGCCACTGCCTGATTTACCATGCTCGCGGCTCCCAGAGATGCGAGAGAAGCACGAGCACACAAACATCACCGAGACGGACGTGCCCGAAGCCACATTGTGGAATGTCGTAGTACCTGCCCACTCCCACGGGGATCTCATGGTGAACTCGGTGGATCGTCTCTTCAGCCCTCCAGCGTAGTTCTTTCGACGAGACTGAATTAGCTGATCCATCGATCAAAGCAAACACTTCGGTATCTGCTGTCTCTGGCACAAGAAACCTGATTGGCCCCATCCACCGAAGCAGACTGCAAATCGGCAGCTGATACGTCGTCGCGTTCAAATAATGCCCCCAGGTGGATCATATCCGGTGGATGCCCCCCTGGCTGCATTGGCTATGCCGGCACTGCCAGGTTCGCTGTCAACCTGGGCATTTGTGGTCTTCCTGAGCATGAACATGGGCTTCTTGCCTTCCTTGTCAAGCTGCTTGAACAGAATCAAGGGTTTCTCGTCCATGCCAAGACACCGCTCCTGGTCGCCGTAGACAATATACAGCGCATATTGGTCCCAAGGGGCGTTGATTTGATACTTTTTGAGTGCTGCCGGGAGGACCTTGTAGCAGGGGTCATCCATGCTGACCCGAAAGGATTTGAATATTTCGACGGACGAGCCATTCGAATTCGGTGCCGGAGTTTCGGGAACTGGAGTTTCGCGGCGCCTGGGCAGACCCGGGGCGATAACACCTTTGTCCCTGGACATGTACGTGCCGTGGTCGGAGTCGTTTATTGTGGATCGAGTCGATGGTGCAGACGTCTCCCCGCGATAGGATCGTGCTCCCAAAGTAGTGCTGCTGGAATAGTTTTGTGGTGATGTTGGAGAGGGCATATTCGGTGAGGGATGCGCCGATGAGGTCTGTCCGTTCATTGCCGCAAGGTGCGACGACGACAGGACGGCCCGTTCGGCGGCGCTGGAGGGATCCAGTGTTTGCTCAGCAATCGACCTGTCGTGGGCTACTTGGGTCGGAGAAGCGTTTTTGGGGGTCGCGCCTATGATGATTTTTCGTTGGGAATACTGTCGTTTGACGCCCCCTGGGCCAGAGCCTGGTGGCGGAGTCGGGGCAGGAGGAGATGCGGTGGCTTCGAATGGAAACCCTTGCCCCAGAGCGCCGCCACTGAGGTTTGGCAGCGGTGTTTGTTGATCTTTGACAAGGCGGAGGGCTGGCAGCATATCTTCTCTGAGCCGTCTGAAGTCGTCTGTAATGCGTCGCAAGTCTTGCTCCAGCAAGTTCATTCGCTCGTCCCGTAGTCGCAGCTGTTCGACGAGGTGCTTGATGTCCTTGAGAGTCGCGGTGGCGTACTGAGCTTCGGCATCGGCAGCTACATCCCTTCCGATTAGCAACGGCTCCTCTTCATGTATCTAGTTGTTGATGTTTGGGGGCTCCTTTGATCTGAGTGTCACGATGTATCTCCAGAGGTTGCGGCGAAGGGGGCCAGAGGGTGGGTGGGTAGCCGTACACAACGGGAAATAGTGATCGCTCTCAATCGGTACATCCTGGGCTTTTTTGACATCGTAGACGCTCTTCAAGATTGTCAATCGATGACCGACACTGGCAACGCCCATGCTCTTCAAGTCCTCGTGGTGCAGAGCGACCAAGGCTTCACCAACAATGTCGTTTTCTGTGGGAACAAACGCACAAAGAGGCGGTTCAGTTAGTCACGGCTCTGAAACAATCCATCATGGTTTGTGAACATGGCTAATCGGCTTCAGGGAGAGCAAGGTGGTCCGAAGTCGGGTTATCGACTTACCAACAAAGCCATCGGCGTACTGGGGCAGGCCAATGGTGGAGATGAAGTCGGCACACTCGTCGGCATTCCATTCAGTGACGATGGTTTCAGGCAACCGGGCAGCACTGCTGCGATGCCCGTAGGTGGTGGGAGTATGCTCTGCGGAGGTCGACAGCTCGGAATCGATGGGTGAGGCCTCGGAATCGGCAACAGGAGAGTGGTCGTCCATGCTTCGCTCGTACTCGTCGTCGGCGTCGGACTCGGCATAGGCTGTGCCGCCGTCGAAGCTCATCATGTTGAGGACAAGCTTGCCGGGTGATGGTGCTGCGAGAAAAGGGAAGGGGGGCAGGTGCGAAGCTGGGGAGGGATGGTCAGGCTGAGGTGGAGCAAAAGGCGATTGAAGATGACAAAGGGGGGAAGGAGAGCAACGGGCGAACGGGCGGACAGGAAGCGTAACCCAAGTACTTAGGTGGCTGGCAGGCAGCGGGCAGCGGGCAGCGGGCAGTGAACAGTGAGTGAGTAGTAGTGGACAGTGAACAGCGGGCAATGGACGAGGACAATGGACAGTGGTAAGTGTACTTAAGTACTTACCTACTTAACCTAGGTACTGTAGGTACCCAGTAACCCAGGCAGGTAGGTGCCTCCCTCTTGAGTACGTACCTAAAGTACCTAGGTACTCAACTTATCCAAGTAAGTTCTTAAGCGAGTACCTACTTAAAGTAAGTACTTGGTACTCCGTAGCTCTTACGGCCTCGGGCCCAAACACTGACCTCAACAAGTGCTGGTACAAGCACTAGCAGAGTCTCGCAGGCCGCTTCGGCAGTTGCAGTCGAGGACGTTCAAGGCCAGATGCCAGATGCAGATGGAAATATGCGGGCTTACCTAGGTACCTGGGTAGGTACTAGGTAAGTAGGCAGACCAGGACCGCACACAAGCTTCACGATGCACGACTTCCTAGGGATCTCGTCAAGTCTGGGGAGCGGAGGGGAGAACAGCAGGGGGCCTGGCAACTGGCTTTGGGGGAGGGGGCCAGAGGAGAAAGGGGGGGGGGGCGGGGCGGGGCCTGGCCCAAGTCAGGTCAGGTACCGCCAGTTGGCCAGACGGGGCGGCTCGCAACTCAACGGCGCCGACCTCACGGCTCCCACACTCAGGGTTGCATCTACGCATCCAAGTACCTTGTTGTTCTTGTTGTTGTTCTTAGGCATGCATCAGCTTCGACCGCAGCCCGCACCGCGCCGCCATCGATGATCTACAGAGTTGCACCGCCACCATGTCCGGTGCTTCATGGTCAGTGCTTCAATGCTGACGTCGGCACCCGATGCAGATTGACGGGCGATACGGAGTACCGGCGGGCTGGAACCCTCACGCACACACATTTCGGCGAGTACGGAGTAGCAACGACCTGCCCACCCAAGGACGCAGTGTGTACGGCGTATCTACATGAGGTATACAAGTGCCTGGCATAAATTCCTGCCTCGGGACCCTTCTGTGTCTTTACCAAGACAATCTATTCCCAGCCGAGCAAGAAAGATGCTGACCTGATGCCTGAATTACGAGTCTGACAAGCGTCGGCCGAGCTGCGAGTCGCCGTGCCGCCACATCATACATGGCAGCCTTCAAAGTTCACCACCACGAGCCCGGCGGCAACATCAGACAAGACGACGACGCAATGCAGGCTTTGGCCTTGTCCCCGGCTCCCCGGCTCCCCGGCTGTGCCTCTTTGTTTGAGGCTGCGAGAGGCAACGTCGCCTTGTGTGTGTGAGCCAGCAGCCAAGTCTAGAGAACAAGCCTCACCTGGCGCGTTGGGTTGTTCCAAAGTTCAAACCAAGCGTTTACCACCTTGCTCGTTGGCGAGAGACGAAGACGGTCAGCATCCCTGCTTCCGTATGTCCGCCATGTGGCAGGCCATACATGGGCCGTCACGCCGCATGCGATACCCAGAGGCAGAGTGCCAAGCTTTTGCCTTTTCTCGTTTCCCCCTGGATTTATCCCCGTCTACTTGTCAGTTCGCAGTTCAATGTTTAGAGTCAAAGAGGAATACGATGCTGGCCCTGCAGATGTGACGTGGGGGTTCCCTGTGATATCTGTGTGATCTGAGCGGCAAAGGCAAGGGTCCGGACTTCGGATGTGGGGAACAAAGGGGGCGTCGACGTCAATCTGGTTACTCGTTATCCAGTTGCCCGTTTGGCAGGCCGCATGAGTGTCGTGAGAATGCGCGGGCTGAGCAGGAACACAAGGCGTGGTGGATCGTCACCATGGTGCCCAAGAGAAGCAACCCAGTCTCTATTCTGGTTTCCGCCGTGTCGAGCTCCTCTCATTGCCACCCATCTTGGCTTCACGCGCAGTCCAAGTCCATGTCAGCCGGATAAAAGCCGCCGGGTGCGTCAATGCCTTGGTAGTTGAAACCCTACATTGTGAAGACTCATCATGCTCTCCCTCCCCTTCCAACTTGCATGATCCGGCATGTCATGGGCCTCCCCGCATCGTCCAGGCGATGCCACCTCCTACCGCTTGATATCTTCAAGGTCACATGCGCATCTACGCTGTGCGAGGTGCGAGGTACCCAGGTCCAGGTATAGGCAGGCAGTCCGAGTACAACATTCTCTCCGTCCTCATCCTCCCAACCGGGGCCTCACAAGAGAACGAGGCTTCATCACGCCTCGAGGCAGCTCACCAACTGCCGTCAATATCATCCCCCCCTTCTCCCCTCCCCCAAAATCGTCTCGCCAATCTTTGCCAGCCCTTGTCCCTTCTTCCCCCCTGCTTTCCTTCCTCTCTTCTTTGTAAACACCCGCACCCCATGGATAGAGCCCTGGCTGGACAAGGCCGACAAGCCTCGCCTTGAAACAGCCCGTCCGTTCGCACCCGCCCCAGACACTTTACTCTGGATTCTCCGGACCCTCGCCCCCGTGTCTGCGTTTCAGGTTCGATGCTTTTCTCTGTCAGGCCCCAGCGCCTCTTTCTCTTCCCACTTGAGCACCCCGGCTGCCGGCCCCAAGCCTCTCGATGCCAATCAGCCCGTGCAAAGTTTCGGAGCCCCTGTGCCTCGCTTGTCTCGCTTGTCTCGCTCCATCCAAGATACGCAAAAAAGAAATAAAAAATAAAAACCCACTACATACCCAAGTACACACATCACCAAGGCCCAGGGCCAGCCTTTCAACTCCCACAAACGTCGGCAGAGTGACATGACCACGTGCGTACATGCCACACGCGGCGGCTGGCTACAAAAAAAAAAAAACCCATCGACTGGCTGGCTGACTGACAGACCGACCGACTGACTGACCGACCAACTTCGGCCTGTATGCCAGGGCGTCGCCTCCTTGGCAGGCTCTGGGAGGCACCACAGCAGTGGTGGGAAACGTGTGACCATCGCGCGCGCGCCGGTTCGTGGCGTCACAATTGCCCCGGGCACAGACAAGTGCTGATACTCGTCTCAGTTGCCAGATACCACGGTTGCTGGGCCTGTGCGTGCCGTGCCGTGCCGTGCCGCGCCGTGCCGCGCCGCGCCTCGGAAACCTCTCCTACCCTCCCTCTCACGCTTCCAGTCACTCCGTCTCTTTCCGTCGGCCAGAGGGTCGACGTCATGACGTCGCGTGGGACGGGTTCGACGGGATCCGTCCCTCCAGCAAGACTTGACTTGATTCACACATGTACAATATCCGTCAATACGTCAACAGAGTTTGCGGTTGGCAACTTTATTGTTCCTTCTCCCTGGCGCCGGCGTGAAAGCTGGCAAGCAGACCTGCCACGTCATAAGCCACTATCTACCTAGGTATATATACAATCCATGTCTTTAGGAGTCGTCTACCTTCTTTCTCTCACATCATCTTGTTGCTCACATTAAAGAGTCTCGAGCCTTTTGCTCCCCGTCAATCGCCCTTTCTTCCGCCGAAAAGTGACCATATTATCGCTGTCGGCCCGTGACTAACTACCCCTGCAAGCCATGCCGCCATAGGTGTCATCAAAGATATACATGTGGGAATGCCGCAGTGAAATCAGCGCAGCACATCAACAGCTGCGCCAGGCAAGTTCACGGGGTGCTGCAGCGAAGAATAGGACAAAAACAAAAGGGCGCCCTTCCGCAACCTCTGCAGCCTGTTGCAGTCGCCACTGGTAAATTCCAAATGCCAGCCCAGGAAGAAAAGATGACATGTAAAGACAAAAACACCGCACTCACTGCGCCCGACCAGTGAACCATTTTGTAGAAACAACGCTCCAGATATGTCGACTCAGTCACCCCGATTAATGTACCGTGGGAATGCTCACCACGGTCTACCGCAAGGGCCGCTTGGTATCACGGACACCGCAACGTACAATATCTTCCATGGCCCATCTGGGAGGCGTCAGAGGGATGCCGTTGACCCGTCTCCATTCCTTCTCCTCATTTGGTGCAACGTCAACGCCGGCGGGGAGAGGTTCAAGGCCGCCGGCAACACCAGTAGAGAACCTGAGTTGGAGGATGTCCGCAATTTCGTCGCAGGCGGCTAAAAGTCTGTCCAAGTCGTCCTTGTTGTGGGCTGCGGATATGCAGAAACGGGCACGGGAGCTAATAAGAGGCGTCGCAGGATACCCGACGACGACGATGGAAATCTTGCGCTTGAGCATCTCACGACTGAAAGCGGGCATCTTTCCAGGGTTGTACAGCATGACGGGGATGATTGGTGAATCATCATGACCGTAGACGATGTAGCCGAGACGCTTGAGACCGAGACGGAGGTATCGAGAGTTGAAGGCAATGCGCTGCAAGCGCTCCTCGCCATGGCCCGGGCACAACTCGCCCGTGATGAGCTTCAACGAGGCCAAAATCTGCGTCAAGACGCATGGAGCAGGTGATTCGCCGTATTGACTGCAGGCATTTGTGCTTCTCAACTTGTCGACGATGTGCTTCTCGGCTGCAATATAGCCACCGTTTGCACCAAAAGATTTTGTGAAGGTGCCCATGAGGATGTCGATTTCCGAAGGATCAATGCCGAAGTAGTCGCAGACACCACGACCACGGGGTCCCAGAGCACCGATGGAGTGAGCCTCGTCAACAAAAAGATAAAACTTGTACTTTTGCTTCAGAGCAAGGATGCGTGGCAGATCACACATGGTGCCCTCCATAGAGTATAAGCCTTCTACGACAACCAGGATCTTCTTCCATGGTCGGTGGGTACGCGGCTGGCCCTGCGATATGTTTTCTCGCAGGACCCTTTCCAGGTCATACATGTCATTGTGTTTGAAGGACTGAATGACGGCGTTGGAAAGACGGGCCCCGATGCGGATAGAGGCGTGGTTCAGTTCATCAGAGATGATGAGACAGCCTTTTGAGGCCAAAGCCGGGAAGGAACTGGCGTTGGTCACATAGCCCATGGAAAAGACCATGGCATCAGGCTTGCCAACAAAAGCAGCAACTTCTCGTTCAACGTCGAGAGCTAAATCAGTGGTGCCAGCATCGCCACGCGGACTGGCCGAGGTGACACCATAACACCTGACACACTCTTCGACGGCGTCGGCGCAGGGCCCTTCGGATTGGGCAAACCCCAGGTAATTGTAGGAGCTCATGTTGAGCGTCTCGGTGTAGGTGCCAGTGTACTGATAGGAGCGGTTGTGATCGTTGGATTTGCGGTCAATCAGAGTAATGAACCTTCCAGGAACGCCGATAGTTGGTCGGGCAAAGCAATCGTCCAGTCGCATCTTTAACCGTCTAGTATAGAAACTGTCGAAGTCATCATTGAGCGGAGCGTAGCCATTTTGGACTTTGAGGGAGTCGTAGGTTTTCTTGTCGCCAAATCTCTTGCCAAAGAAGTCGCAAATGTGGCCCACAAGAATGAGCAGCAGATAGCTAATGTAGGTGGTGAGGAGGAAGTAGTAAGGGGGCTCGTCCTCAATCGGCGGCTCCAGGGGTATGCCGTGTGACTTGCTGACGTAGAGGTGACTTGGATGACAGAGAGGACCAAACTGAGCATCAGCACGTCGCTTTCTCTCTATCTCCTCGGCCGACCTGGGGCGGAACAGAGTTGTAGTTGGCGGTTCGGAGCTGTTGTGGTCACCCGCAACGGCGGTGGACAGTGAAATTATAGGAAGAGAGGTGGATGGGGGCGAGATGGCAGCGGGCACACCGTTGGCCTGAGTATGCTGTTGCTGCGTCGCAGAGGGTTGCTGCTGCTGCTGCTGCTGCTGCTGCTGCTGCATGGCGAGCAGTGCCTGCTGGGCAGCGGTGTGGTCCTTGGACTTGGGGCTCGAGGAAAAGAAATGGCTGATGCGATTTCCTTTGGAGGTGGAGGGACGTCTCTCGCCCGTCTTTTCAGAAGATGGCATGACGGAAGAGGTCGAGAAAGGGTTTGCCAGCTTGCGGGGCATATCTCCTTGTCAGTGCTTCCAAACCGCGGACAAGGAGATTGCGTCAACGATAACGCCGGCAAGACGAACGTGCCGAAGGGGGGCGTTGGATCGGGTCGCCGTGTATCAGCTTCGTTCTGAGGAAAGAGATGGTCAGCGGCTGTTTGGAAGCAAGTGGAAGGCGGCAAAGATGCATGCGAGGGGAGAGGCGTGGATAGACAAGATTCAGCTTCAGGGCCAGACCGGGAAGCGCAGGGTCAAGACACAGCACGTGAAATCAAGATGCAATTGCACGGGTGCACAATTGGCCGTGAATACCCAGGGCTTGAACGAGGCAATACGGCGGTGGTCAAGAGGTTGCACCTTGAGAGGAATTCAGGAATCAGGAGATAGGGGTGAGGGGTGTGCGGACGTGGATGCTGAAAATAAGGACTCGACGCCTCTCCCGACCGCCAAGGGATTGCCGGCAGAAAGAGGAGGGAAAGGGCGAACGCAGCAGCGATACTCACCACGTAGGCATGAAAGCTTGTGCGCGTGTGTTTGTGTGCGGCGATGACAATGGACACGATGGGAATGTGAAGCCAAAGGGTGAACAAAAAGCATGCGGGCCCACGCACGCGGTGCAGTGTTGGCTGGTTGGTTGGGGTTGGTTGGTGGCCCCGAGAACGAAAGAGCAGTCAATTATTAAGTACGTACCTAGGTAGTTGACCTGGGCTAACCCGGGTCAGACATTGAAGCGGTGCCACACTCAGCAGTCGGAGTCGGCCCTGGACCCAAGCCTGATTGATGGTGGCGGGTGGAGGCGGCACGAAGCCTCGCTTCGACCGGCCGGGCCAGGCGATTGGGCGACAGAGCTGTCAACAGGCCCAGACATCGATACTACAGTACTGCGACGGAGCACTCTTGAACCATGGACGTGCGAGATTGCGTCAGGGGCGGACCGCCGCGTGCGGGCTAAGGATTGAATTGACTTGGACGACCCGAAGGAGCCGCGAGGTTGTGTGGCTTGAATGCTCTGGATTCCGGTGGCGCCCAGTCAAAGGCTGCGCCTGCACGCCCAACTGGTGCCGGTCAAGTACTCAAGTACGTCCTTGAGCACCCCAAGTACATACAGCACCTGGGCAAGTTGGAACGTGTCCAGGTACGGAGTTCTTGAGTACTAGGTAGTACCTAGGTAGTTAATCGTACTTAGGTGCCTAGGTACCTTCGTGCGCGGCCCCTATTTCCAAGGACTAGGGTGGGTGCCAAGGACTGGCCTTACAGGCGACTGCGTGTAAGCATTACTAGTACTAGTATTAACTATAAACTTAGAGAGAAAAGGAAGAAAAGGAGAAGTTCCCTGCCCCCGTTTTATTATATATATAGGTCCTAATGCACATCTAAAAAGTATCCGACGAGGCACTAACACAGTGCTTTATATATACTCGAACTATAAGCTCGAGTCCATTACAGTCACTAGCAATCATACTTTCCATCTAATCAGCCATCACAAGACTCTGCAGTCTTCGCAACTACGTTCCGGGATAAACACAGTCACAGTAACTGTCACCAGAGACAGGGGCCGCGCGCGAAGGTACTAGTTGGCGACAGGTGGGGCACCCTCGGGTGCACTTCTCGCTTCGACTCTTTATTATTAATGATAGGCCCCGAAAGCCAAAGCCCCATCTACTCCGTATTGCGACTGTAATCGTCCTTCATCAACTCTTCAAAAGCTTCTCCTGGCCTCCAATGGTCAAGCACCATCTTGCAAAAGCTCCTCCTGGCCTCCAATGACCAAGCACCATCTTCATCATGCTTGGTACGCCCTTCCTGCTGGAGACTCGAGTCCCAAGATACCACCACTACTCCTCCGCACGTCAAGTCCGAACCCGTCCCATGGATCTGCAGCTACTCTCACATCAACGTTGATCGGGACAGACACGGAGAAAACGCAGGCGTCAGTTTGCGAATAAACACCAACCTTGTAGTGGCACCCGGCATGAGACGCGTCATTGAGCATCGTTGCAGACACTGCTACGACTATGTGCATGGTGCAATGTCATACATAGTACGGAGTACTTACTATTGCCAAGTTGTCGTTCGCGTTGCATTGCCGGTGATGCCACGGCACACAAAGCGAGGTGGCTTGCCATTCAACGCATGGGTCATGACCAATGGGTTGGGCAACGCACGCATCCGAATCAACGCGCAACACGTACGTCGTATAAGTAAATACATGCAAGAGTTTTTCCTCCGGGCTACAGTGGCCTGGTAATTTTCGATATATTGGAGGACCTCGCGGCGGCGGCACCGAGTACGGCGGATGGGGAAAGGGATGCAACCACCAAACACCCAACGTCAGTCTGGAAAGATATCTCGTGAGACATGTGTGCGAGTAAAGAGGAATATCCGCCAAGAAATACTGCCCCCCCGATGAGTCGCCGGCTATTGCAGAGAAGGACAAGAGTAGTAATTATCAGTCTATGACTTTATTTTATTTTGTTTTTATCTTTTTCTTTCATCACCCACCCAGAATGCCCGGCTCATCGTGCACCGCCGCATTGAGTCGGATTCTATTCAGCCACGGAAATGCGCGCCACACTTGACATACGGCAGCACCAGAGCCGTTGCTCCGTGCGCTGGCGGGTTGCGCCGGGCCACGGCTCAGCAGGTTTCATGACCCTCCAGCCCCTAAGCCGAACCGCGCGGACGCAACAGATGCTCATAGACTGGCGCATTCTTCCCAACATTCTTCGCCTTCGACACCGTTACCAACATTGATAAAACCACCCAAACCCCGAAACGGAGCCAGGCGAGATAGCCAACATCACCAGCAAACATCTGGGTCTTCAGTCCGCACAGCTGTCGCCGGCCGGCGCGCCACGTCGCTCACAATGGGCGAATGCATCAACAACCACGACGAGGCTTCCGATGAGCTCTGGCGACACCATGCTCCTGATCGTACGCCCATGTGGCAGTTCATGCAGCAGGTGAACAAAAAACATGCGTTGGCCATCGACGCATATCCCGGGCTGTACCAATGGTCCGTCGACAACGTGTCCGCCTTTTGGGAACAAGTCTGGGACTTTGTCGGCGTCGTCGCCTCCGACAAGGACGACAAGGCAAGTTGGCCGTTCTTTTTTGCCCTTGGCATCAAAAAACTCCTTGCCTTCTAACCGCTCAATCCAAGGCCCTGCCGGAAAATGCGCCCATGTACCCTCGGCCCGACTTCTTCTCATCCGCCCGCCTAAACTTTGCCGAGAACCTGCTCTTCTGCCCGACCTCACCCGTCGACCCGGACGACGTTGCCGTCATCACCGCTACCGAGCTGCCGGGGGACATCAAGCCGACGACGTGGCGACAGCTGCGTGAGTCGGTGCGCCAATGCTCCAATGCCCTCCGCAGCGCTGGGCTGAAGCCCGGAGATGTTGTCGCAGGCTACCTGTCTAATCATGTGGAGGCTGTCGTCGCCATGTTGGCCGCCGCATCTGTCGGCGCTATTTGGACCGGCATCAGCCCCGATAATGGCGTGTCAGCCGTGCTTGATCGGCTTGCTCAGATCGGGCCAAAGGTCTTGTTCGCCGACAATGGTACCGTCTACAATGGCAAGGAGTGGCCGAGCACCCCCAAGACCAAGGATATTGTGGCAGCACTCGAGAGTGCCGGACTCGGTCTAGTTGTCGTCATTGACAACACCAGCGCCGACCTCGGTCTTGACGACATCAAATCCCAAGGCGTCAAAGCTCTCGACTACACGTCTTTTCTCAGAGACGCGCCTGCAGACCCCATCAAGTTTGAGCAACTCCCTCCTTCGCATCCGCTCTACGTTCTGTACTCGAGTGGAACGACTGGCCTGCCAAAGGCCATCGTTCACACGGCGCTAGGTACTCTCCTCCAGCATAAGAAGGAACACATGTTGCACTGCTCCATGACTGCCGCGTCGCGCATGCTGTACTACACGACGACTTCGTGGATGATGTGGCATTGGAGCATCAGCGCCCTGGCAGTCGGCACCGCTCTCGTTCTCTACTCCGGATCACCGTTCCGACCAAGCTCGCACATGTCGCTTCCCAAGCTCCTCTCCCGGCTGAAAGTGACCCATTTTGGCACGTCAGCTGCGTATCTCACGGCACTGGAGGCCAACAACGTCCGGCCTGTTGAAGACAAAAGCCTCGACCTGTCATGCTTGGAGGCAATCTATTCTACCGCATCACCACTACCCCCGTCCACCTTTAAATTCGTGTACGAGGCGTTTCCAAAGACGGTCAACCTGGCCTCCATCACTGGCGGCACTGATATCATTTCCCTTTTTGGCGCACCGTGTCCTCTGCTGCCCGTTCGAGTTGGCCAGATCCAATGCGCTGGTCTTGGAATGGACATCCGCGTCGTAGACCCCATTACAGGAGAGGACATGCCGCCAGGGGAGCAGGGCGATTTGGTCTGTGTGAAACCGTTCCCTTGTCAACCGTTGACTTTCTTCGGTGACAATGGCCAGGCCAAGTACAAGTCGGCCTACTTTGAGCGCTTCGAAGACGTCTGCGGCGTCAAAGGCCCCGTCTGGCACCACGGGGACTTTGTCAAGATCCCCGATGCCACCACCGGAAGCCTGGTGATGCTGGGCCGATCAGACGGTGTATTGAAGCCTGCGGGCGTCCGGTTCGGATCTGCAGAAATCTACAACATCCTCACTCGATTCTTCGCCGAGGAAGTCGAAGACGCCGTGTGTGTTGGGCGCAGAAGGGAGACGGACAGGGACGAGACGGTCTGCCTTTTTGTCGTCATGGTCCCCGGCAAGCCCTTCGGCCAAGGCCTCAAAACTCAAATCATGGCCAAGATTCGGACCGAGCTTAGTCCCCGGCACGTCCCGGCGGTGGTGGAGGAGTGTGGCGCCGGTATTCCCAAGACTGGCAACGGCAAGAAGTACGTTGGCCCTTTGTGCATCGCTGCAAGTCTTTTATGTGCTCTAATGTGACGGTAGGATCGAAGTCGCTGTCAAGCAGATTCTGTCTGGGCTGAATGTTAAAACTAATGCGAGCGTCGCCAATCCTGAAGCACTGGATTGGTTCAGAGAGTGGGCAATGAAAAATTGAACAAAGGAAAAGAAGAAAGAAGAAGGAAAGAAGGAAGGAAAAAAAGACACAAGCATCCAGCAAAGAGGTAAAAGGGGCCACCTCCGGGGAACATGAATATACAGAGGTTAATCGCCCGTTTCAAGGGGCATGTTGGTCAAGGCCGTTATAGAGCGACTTTATTCAATGCAATGGCTCGTGCGGGGTGAGCACCGGTTTGGTTCACCAACAAAGTAGCCCTGGTACCCGTGAGTATGGGCTACGACCTTGGTTTCGATGACAACAACAGAGTCGAGATTGAACGGGGTCCTGGCCTCTCAACAGGAGACTCCAAATCCAACCTACCAACATCTGCCTGGGTACGTATTACGTATTAGGTAACAACCACCCCAGCCAGACGCGGCCTTTCATCTCTCTCCCGACCACGCTTGCAAGGATCCGATCCAGCAACGTTGGAAATGAATGGCTTGTCTGTACTTTGTGTGACGGGGCGGCGCACAAGTCAAAAGCAAGATTTCCGTACAATGTGCCGGCACCCGGCAGGAAGACGGGAGAAGTACGGAGTACGTGGGGCTGTAGAATGGCGAAAACGGAGACGTACGCGCTGCTCCTGACCTGCCGTTGGTAAGTGCTTAAGTAGATAGGTACCTGGGTACTTACAAATGAAGTAGGTACGTAAGTACCTAACTTCAGGGAGCAACGGAGCAGTGCCTGCTTGTGCCTACCTAAAGTTCTCAAGTAGGTACCTGGTAGTTGCCAGACTTTTTTTCAGATCAATCGGACTGCTGAGACGGGGATTTCGTGCAGCATTAGCATTGCCCGTTCTCACAAGTCACGTCGTCAGACTGATCAGATTTGATTATCTGAGTTGTTTTGGAGCCCCCGGGATGACTCCACACCGAGTTCGGAATGAAGAGGTATTATGAGCACCTACTCCGTACCTTGAGTGGGTTAAGTACCTACCTACCTACCTTAAGTAGGTACTTACTTGGGGAACTGCCTACCTGGAGGTACTTACGAGCCTTGTCGTTGGACATTGCTGACTGGAGCCAATCAAGTTACACGACGACAGGTTGGGATATCGCTGATGACTGTTTATTGCCGCAATCACCGGCTCGAACAGACTCCAAGTGCGGAGTACATAATAGTAACCCAATGGCCGTTCAGCGCACATCAAACCATCAAGCCATGACTGAAAGCAGGTTGCCTGTTCCTGGTGACTCCACATTGAAAGACGGGGAAATATTACAAGTGGATATTGCGTGGACCAAGTTGCAGAATCTCACCTATCGTAACATCATCAGATGTACGGACTGCGTACGGCGGACGGAAAGCCCCACGTTCGACCGTGGCTCAATCTTCCTCGACGGCTTCTCTGCCGTTTTGTTAGCCTGCGATACCGTGGTGCCCACAATTAAACCAAGGAAGATTTTGCATGGCAGGGCTGACGGGGCTGCAACCATTTGCGGCGGTTGACGCGGGCTACGATGAATGAAGCCCAGCTATCGTAAATTCTTTTACGCGGCGTTGGCGAATTCTGCGAGCTTGGTTGGGGTTTCGCCATTCCCCACCTGTCTCCAGACTATTCCCCCTATGTATGACGTAAGGATAAATCACTGCACTAGGCTGTGGGAGGGAGCGAGTGAATACATGTAATATTGCCCGTGGTCCTGACAGTCAAGTTGAAGGGAAACAGACCGCTGGCACGCGTGTCAATAGATCCGTATCATGTGTTTTCCAGCCATCTGAGCGTCTCAGCATGATTTGGATGTTATACACATGCCGTGGCGAGTTTCAGTGTGTTGAAACCTCTGGTTGTGTCTCCTCGCCCGACGAAATGTAGATCTGTTGGAGCGCCTGGCTGTATGCTGACGCAGTGGTTCCGTATCAAGTGCCAAGAGACAGCCAAGAGGTTACAGGAAGTATGACGATCAAATCACGTCTGCCTGCTAGCTTGTGCGACTTTCAGTGTCGGCGCCATGCATTGGCTCTTGAGAATTGCCTCGAGCACCTATTTGAAGATCCATCTCCGGTAGCATTTTCCAGTGCATTTCGGTCTCAAGTTATCAAGTGAAGTTGGCTAGAAGTCGACAAACATTCGCTTGGTCCAAATTGACAGGGAATAAATAAGCAAGGGAATATCGAGTACAAAGCATCGCGATGTTCTGGCGGTACGGATAATTCTGCTAGGGCAGACGGGGTGGCTGTTGTCGCTCTCCTTGGCAGGGGAATTCGTTCGTCCCTGGCGGCAAAACCCTTTGATCGACTTGCGAGTGAAAATGATTAGTGTGAATCCTCCTGACAGCTCAACGAGGCTCGATCGTGTTACCGACGATGGTGTGTAGGGCAAACCAATCTGACACACTCCCCAGTCCTGCACATCCCGGTGTCAGCAGCGCGCCCTGGCAACTACCGCGGCGACAGGGACGGCTGGCAGCGCCGCCTGATCAGTAGAGCCTTTCCAGTGCATTTACGGAGTACCAGATGTGTCTTGGGCTCTTGCTCAAATGTATCTGGTACCCGCCATCTTGAAAGAGGGTAGGGGGAGCTTTGCAGGAAGCGGAAAGCAATCATTTCGCAGCTCGCCAGTGGACGTCTCGCACGTTTTCAACCAGAGCACCGGCAGGGAGGAGGGGGGAAATGTGGCAAAACTCGAAACGGCGAAGGATTCTGGCAAGAATTTCCAAGAGAGATGATAAATATGTCGTTGTGTCGACACCTTGAAGGCTCTCGAGTATAATCATTACGCCCAGCAGCTACTGCGTAGAGTAAGTCCAAAGTGCGTGCTGGCTGGTGCTGCGCAATGCACAACGGGAGTACGGAGTCCGGAGTAGGTGCTTTTCAGCCGCGCCTTCCCAACCCCCAATGTTTATTATTACTTCGTACTGGGTACGAATCCCTCATGCCCAATCAATCAACTACGTGAATCGTTTAAACGTCTGTACTCCGTCCAAGTACTTGAGACATTGGCTGGCAGCCCTAGACTGCTCGAGTTAGCCGGCGTGCGATTGCATCTTGGCTTTGCCTGCGCCCAGCCTTGCGGTGTGTAATCGATACTCGACTGGTCGAGCTAATGCACCCTTTCACGATCGAGGACGCGCCGACCGTAAGCTCGAAACAGCCTTGGCCTGTCGTTGCAGCGTGCAATTTTGTGTGTGGTTGGGGCCAACGACCCTTATGCTCGCCCATTGCTGTCTCTGATGGGCGGCTAACATGTACAAATAGTACTTTAAGTAGGTACCTACTTAAGTACCTAGGTACCTAGTTAGTACGCAAGTACGCATGTCCAGGTTTCACGGATGAGCATTGAGCCTTGTCAGACGTCGGGAATCTCCTGTTCCTTGTTGGCATCCATCTGTTCAAGGCGAAGCGTCGAGCAGACGGCCAAGGAAGACTTTACCAGAACAGATGAACAGATGAGAGATGGTTTGCGGGCACGTGCTCGTGGTGCTGCTGCCTGTGATGCGGCCCTCACCCTCAATTGCTGCCTCAGCTGCTCCACCTCCCTCGCATCACATCACATCAGAACCGTCACCCAGAATCCACCCGGCCATTCCAGCTGCCACTTTTCCGGGAACAATAACTAAACACTTCCAGACAAGCCCCGGGACCTTCGAACCGCCAGCCCATCATCTGTCATGGACCCTGCGAGGCGATAAGTCTTGGTCAAGCCACATTTCCACCTGCATCTCTGAAATCTCCCGTCAACCACCGGGACAGGGACAGTCTACTGCTTCCGCCTCGGATTGTGCACTGTCCGAGACTAGCAATGACATCAAATCAAGGCACCGAGTAGCCACCTTCCATGGCCACTGGGCTCGCCACCAGACACCGCGAGTGTTTGCAAGATTGGAGTGTGCAATCGACATGCTTGCAACTTGGCATCTCATGCGAAGCCTCATCTAGACATGGCATCATCGGTACTCGATATGGAGTGAGAGTGCATGACTTTGGACGTCGCACATTGGCCTTGGCTCTCACCAGCAGCACAATCCTGCAGGCTGTCGCTGCCGGTCGCGCTCGCAACTGCTCGGCTGCGAGCGATGCCAAAATGTCGACATCCTTCTCGTCCTTCTCACCATTTGCTGGAGCCCATGGATCGTTTTACTCCCGCCATTCCCAAAGCATTACGCGGGAGCAGGCCCGTAGACGTAGCGCATTCTAACATGACACCCAGGACCGCGGTCCAAGACGGACGACGCCAAGTTTTGTAGCTGAGCCTTGAGTCTGGCTTCCCTCGACTCCTGGCATTGAGGTTCAATTTAAACCGTCCCGCCTGCGCTGTACTCTGTACACGCAGCGAGCGTTTTGGACGCCTCCGCCCGGTCCATCGTCGCCCGCCACGTTGTATTGCCCTTGACACATTTTCTTGTCTGCTTGTTCTGCCTGCCAGCTTGCTTGCCTATGCGTACTCTTGCTGCTACTGCCGCTGCCGCTGCCGCTGCCGCCTCAACTGGCGCTCTTCCCCCCCCCCGGTCCAACGTCCAACCGCGTCCACTCGCTCTCACGGCCCCGTCCCAGTCCAGTCAGCCAGCCCCAGTCCAGTCCAGCCCCAATCCAGTCAACCGGTCTTGTTTCCACCCCCCTGGACACTGAGTGCTCAGCCAGCCAGTCACTCTTTGCTCTGTCAATCTCCTCTCCTTTGCTCTCCGCCTCTCCACACCATCTCGACAATCTCATCGCTCGACGACGCTCCTTTTTGATCATCCTCCTTCCGACTCCCCGGCCACGTCCATCCCCCCCCTCCCCCGCCTCTCTCGCCCCTCATATTCGCCTCAGTCACCATGAATTCGCAGGGCGCCAACGATGTGTCCCCTGAGGCCATGCAGACGCGGATCCAGCAGGCGCGTCGCGAGGCAGAGACTCTGAAGGATCGCATCAAGAGGAGGAAGGATGAGTTGTCCGATACCACCCGTACGTGCTCAATTGGCCGACATGGTCGTCATCGCGGCCATCACGCCCAGTGGCCGCCTTGCTGCTCCTTTGATCTCCTTGACCTAGAACTTTGGCTAAACCGTGTT